ATTTAGTATATCACATATGATCAGAAGCGGCGGAAACGTGGCCATTGTCCACACAGTCTTCATTAGTAACCAATAGCCTTCGACCTCTAGCATTAGCCGTTTACCTGTTAAAGCAGAACCTTTCTTCTTGAACTATTTCGTGCCCACATGCGACCTTGCGAATTTAAATTCACCTTCCGCTTTTGCCTGGTCGTGTAGACACATGTGAGATTTGGCAGGGAGTTTTCAGCTTGGGAAGCATGCAATACAAAAGGCTAAAACACCAGAAGAATGCTACATGTTCAACAGCTACTTTAAATATTTGAGGGTGGTTTTTAGGAATGCCTCCCTCTCAAGTATATATACATAAAAGTCCAGACGGGAGACTGTAGACATAATACGTGGTCGCAATGACCTCCAGATGACTGCCATTTATTATATTATTGTCATTTATTTATAACCGTTCTTTATGCCATATTTATTCAACGAGCACAGCATTTCTTACCAGAAGGTAGATATTTGGAGGTGGAAAAAAGTCTCTAAAATGGTTTCAAGTAAGTGCTTGAGCAGCGGTAGCAATGAATAAGAACTGAAAAGGCGCAACTCAAACAAGGACATAGCTTCGTTACGGTTAGCTCTTAGATGCTTCTAATGTAATAAGAAGAAAACCAGAGTCAGAGTAAGGACAGCCTCCGAGACTGGAGCATTTACTCGTGCACTCAATCACAGCCAGTAAATTCTCAAAATAAGAGAAGTTTGAGTCCCGTATGCCGATATTCACTAACTGCACCTACTCTCTTGTTCGGACTAACAGCCCTTAGGTAATTATTGCCACAAGATTAGTAATAATAGTCAGCAGTAATATCAGTAACAATAGTCAGTAGTAGTAATTAGTCTTTGGGCGGGTAAAAGTGCTTCGTCCAGTGACCAGCTCCAGCTGGGCAGTTTTTTTTTCCATTCAAACATTGCTGTGGAAGAAAAGCGAAGAGAGAGGAACTAATCAGTTTTTGCAGCCTAATTTTTTCGAGCTGACAGCCTGGAATGGCAATAACTACACTGTCGCATCGTACGACCGTAATGGAATCATT